ACTCCTCCTGGCTAAATTAATAGGTGGTTCTATCAAGTGCGGGTCACTGTTTGAGAGAGTTCAACTATTGGTTCCTGCCCGACGGACTCGGCACATATCACTTCTGAATGTAAAAAGACACAGAACCAATTACGAACAAAGTGCATTTATTGATCGCTTATGCAAGAACTATAACACATTTTACTTGCACTGTGATATATTTAATTGTAATATTTTGGCTATTTTGAAAAGGGACTTGCAACTCCTGAATGTCGTAAGTTTTACTCGTATTATCCCGTGGTGTTGTGTTATTCTTCCATTTTTTAATATTTTAAATATATTTTTTAATTTATTTTATATTGTTTGTGTTAGGTAAGATATACTGTACTATTTGGAATTTTACATTCTGTAAGTGCTACATAAATAAAAAAAAATAGATTTGTAGTTTGGGTGGGCACTAAAACGTATTGCTCTGTTCCCACTTGTTCTGACAATCGGAATCATTGCCAGATTTCCATTCTTATTTTGTCTTTGTTTTTATTTATGTTGAGAGCAAGGAAAATCTGTGTTACACAAAAAAAATACATCAAACTATACTAAAAAAATTTTCATGTCCTCAAAATTTATGTTCTCCTAGATTTAAAAAATTCGTACATGGCAAAACTATTATATAACCTCTGCAGCTATGTAACGATTCCAATAATAAATAAGTTACAATAAAGTACAATAATGGAAACCAATTATATAATAACAAGCACCTAGGTGAGAACACCTGTATGTGCCGACAAAAATTCAAATTTTATTTTAATTATATTTAATGAATTATAAAGGAAAAAAACATTTTTTTTAAATAAAAAATAAAACTTGAACAATTTATGCAAGAAACAGAAAAAAAACTATTTAAAAAAATCCATGTATTAAGTCCGTTATTCTTGGAATATTCTGATAAAGTTTGCATTATTTTGGAAAATATATTAGTCCAGTCATTTAAGCTTAAATTAGGTAAGAATCTCGGAACTGGAGATACCCAGCTGTAAGTCTGTAAATACTTGTATATTGACACGCTAAAAGTTATCTCAAAACCTACATATGGCAGGGTGTACGCAACTATTAAATTTCAAGGTCAAATGTCACAAAAATCGTTTTTTTTGCGCTTTTTTGTAAATATCTCATTTTTTATGGGTTTTTTTTGCTATTTGTATTTATTATCAATATTGTAGAATACAAAATTCTCTACAAATTTTGTTTAAAAAAATTCAGATTACAGTAAGAACGTAAAAGCTATGGAGCAGCAGAGAAGATGGAACAATAGTTGTACCAGTTACTCAAGAAAAATTCTTATCAAATCGAAATAACAAAGATATGCTCATTAATATGTTAATTGAAAAATTACAAGCTGCAAATATTACTACTAAACAAGCCAGAGATAATGCTGATGTTCTTATTGTTGAAACTGCAATTGAAGAATCAAATTCTGAAAAAACTGCAGTTATAATAGGACAAGATATTGATTTACTTGTCATTTTAATTGGGCGTACACTGTCTTACGAACAAGACATTTTCTTTAAAAAAGTTGGGAAAGGAAATGTAAAAACGGGGATATACTTGACTAAAAGTTTTGATAATTATCCTCATTCCAAAACACATATTTTATTTCTGCACGCATTAAGTGGGTGTGACACAACTTCTGCGCTTTTTAAAAAGGGAAAAAATCATTTTTTAAAGTTTTTGAGAAACTGACAAATTTGAATGAACTAGCTGCAGCATTTGAGAAAGAAAATTGTTCGGCCCAGAGATTATTAGAGAGTGGAACTCAAATCTTATTGGCAGTCTATAATGCTCCGAAATCTGTGAAAAGTCTCGATCATCTTCGTTATATGCATTACGTCAAGTCTACAAAACTTAATTAACCTGTGCAGCTTTCAAATATTCCACCAACAAAAGCAGCTGCTCATCAACCTTTCAAACGTGTATATTATTAAGTTCAAACTTGGTTAAGGCATGATTTGGAACCCCAGGTATGGAGTTGGGCAATGCGAAACGATTTTCTGGAGCCTATCATGACAATTTTACCACCTGCTCCAGAAGATTTGCTAAATACAATTTTCTGCAACTGCAAGAGTGGTTGTGGTTCGCGATGCGGATGCAGGAAAGCGGGCTTGCAATGCTCTTTAGCTTGTGGCCAATGTAATGGGCAAGCTTGTCTCAATGCTCTTCCATATCAGAGCGACATTAACGAAGATGGAACCTTTGACCCCGAAATCATGGAAGAACTTGAGAGAAATGTCGTTGAAGACGATAATGAAGACCAGTTTGAAATTTACCAGCAGCCGGAAGACGACGATGAAGAGGAAGAAGATTATTAAAATTATAAATTGTAGTTTTTGTACCTTTTATTCCATTTTTTTACTTTTAATAAAAATAAATGTATTGAATGAAATTTTTTAATAAAAAGATTAATTCATAATTTATTTGTTTTTTTTTATCATGTAAGAATTTATTAATATTAATTAGGTTAAAATTCAAATATAATTCCTATATTTTCATTAACAATTTTGCAATTACATGGGCAGGTAAGTGTTGTTAAATAAATTAATACTAAATAAAAAGTGGATAGGTTAGGAAAAAAAATGATAAAATACAATATAATAGTTAATAAAAATTGACAAATATTTATAATCATTGATTTATCGATATTTCATCAACTATATATGGCGCGTTTTCGACCGGAGGCACCGGTTGACCTGAAGTGATGCTGTGACCGCGCGCTCTCCGTCATCTATCTCGAAAACGGTTCACCGTATGAAAATTTTTTTTAACAAAATTTTTAGAGAATTTTGTATTCTACAATATTGATAATAAATGCAAATAGCAAAAAACCCATAGGAAATGAGATAATTACAAAAAAAAGCGCAAAAAAACGATTTTTGTGACCTTTGACCTTGAAATTTAATAGATGCGTACACCCTACCATATGTAGGTTTTGAGACAACTTTTAGGATGTCAATATACAAGTATTTACAGACTTACAGCTGGGTATCTCGAATTCTGAGGTGAACTTACTATAATGATTGGACTATATACTTTCCTAACTTTACAGAATTTTTTATATTTGTTTAATAATTTTATATGAAGAGGTAGAGCGTTATAGAACTTTGTCCCTAGATAATTTACACTGTTTTTAAAAAACTTACTATTTGGTTTTGGTACTTTAATGCACATGTTCGATGCAGTTCTAGTGTTATATCTATGTTCTAAAAGGTTTTTTAAAAATTCATTTTTTGTATATAACAACACACTGCGTGAATATATAAACATCTAACATTGCTAATTTTTTCATTATATAAAGTTATGGTGGGACACAATCTATCTCTTTTACATATTAACTTCAAGGTTTTTTAAAAATTCATTTTTTGTATATAACAACACACTGTGTGAATATATAAACATCTAACATTGCTAATTCTTTCATTATATAAAGTTATGGTGGGACACAATCTATCTCTTTTACATATTAACTTCAAGATTTTGTTTTGAATAACATTTAACTGATTTAATGTAGTTCCATACAGGCCTCCCCATACTAAGATTCCATACAGTAGTATAGATTCTACTAGACTGTAGTATAATGTTATTAGTAGATCCTGGTTGAGAAATTGTTTTAGAAGATAAAACTTATAAATCAGAAATCTAAGTTTTTTTGTTATATATATTATATGGCAGTCCCATTTTAAGTGCTGGTCTATAATTATACCTAAATATTTGGATGTTTCTGTTTCCTGTATGTCTAAATTTTGGCATGTTAAGCTTCTAAATTGAGGTCGATCAGCCACTGTCTTTAAAAAAGCAATGATAACATTCAAAGACAATTTAAAAACATCCAGCCAGTTTTTGACATGTTCCATTCCAGCTATAGCATGTGTCTTGATGGCTTCCCAATCTTTATCACTGAAGACTAGCACTGTATCATCAGCATATGATACAACTTTACCTTGGATATCAATCTGAGTCAAGCTCTTAATGTATAAATTAAATAGTATAGGTCCCAGAACAGTCCCTTGAGGCACTCCGATTTGTATATTTTCAGGGTTACTTACATTGTCTCTGACCTTTACCTTCTGTTGTCTGTGTGTCAAATAAACCTTCAACACGATGCCCCTCACTCCATTCTGTTCAAGAACATTTAAGAGCTCCTGATGTAGCACCGTGTCAAATGCTTTTGCTAAATCTAGAAATATAGCTATACACTTGTTACCAGTATTCATTTCATCAGTAACATATGAAATCAATTCATGCATAGCATCTCCTGAATTAGGACCCTCAATAAAGCCATATTGGTGCTTGGGAAGTAAGTCATTAGTTTTAAAAAATCTGTCAGTCTATCTTTCACACATTTCTCAAATATTTTGGCCACATTACTAATTAAACTAATAGGCCTATAGTTAGTTATTAATTTTGGATTACCAGCTTTATAAATAGGTGTTATAATTGAAGTTTTAAATTGTTTAGGTACGATTCCTGTATTACAAATACAATTAATTATATGTATTAAAGGTTCCAGTAAATACAGATGAAGTAGTTTCAGATGTTTTACTGTTATACAATAAAAACCCGGGGTACTAGTGTTTTTTAAACTATTTGTTTTTTATAATATCGTTTTCGCATATTGGTTTCAGAAACATTGATTTTTCAGTGACACAAGAAAATCCACATTAGATTCAGTGCAGACATACATTTAAGTACCCACCTAAACTACAAATCTACGCTTTATTTTATTCTTCTAGGTATGTAAAATGTGTAAACGTAAAACAAATTAAATTAGAACATATCACTCTAATTTCCTAATTTCTTTAAATAGAGTAATTTTAAAAATTCAGTAAAATATACTTTGGAAGGTTAATTATCATTGTCTGTATGCCAATATTTAAAAAATAGCGCAATCTAAAATAATTCAATATGTCACCTCATTTACGTTCGGTATAAGATTTGTTCCAATGCTGTGCACATTAGTCATTACTAACCTTGGTATGCGATTCAGCAACGGCCCTCAAACCGTTAACCCATTCCTGCCTAGCTCGAGCATCAGAAGCTCTCAGTTTCAACATATCACCTGAAGCACAGTTTACTGTAAAAGTCTTCGAATCTTCATCACTTGGACATATCACAGCTCCAGCGAGATGTACTGATCCTCTGGGCACCGTTCCGTCCGGTTTTTCCCCTTCGCAGAGGTAATAATGTAGCAATCCCGCATTTGCATCTACTAAAAAATATCTGTATTGCCACCCCTTCATGACATTGGTATATTTGTATAGTTGTCCAGAAAATTGTCTCTGCTTTGTATGCAGATCCATAACTGACTGTAAATAAACAAGAAAATTAAAATTAATAAAATACTTTTATTCATATATTAATAGGAATTTTATTAGTGAATGAAATTTGAACTTAACCTCAACTAGTTTGTTTTGAGTCATTTAAACCATTAATTATTGCTTTGAGTCAAACCATCCAACCATACTTCGAAAAATGATAATAAAAAATATTGTAGTAATAGAACTACACTTAAAACGTTGATTATTTTTTAATTATTGTAATGTTACAAAGTTCCAAATTTACGTAGGTTGACATTTCACGGTTGACAGATTTGACGACATGGTTGCCAAATGAAATGAGTATAAGTCGTGATAGAACATTAGATGCCTACATTTTTAATTTCATTTGAAAAAGGAGAAAGTCTAAAATTATATTTTAAATTGCCAACGGTTTAATAGATTCACTGCCAGTACCTACAGCAAAGACATACACAAATATTCATTTCTGAAGATGTTGATGCCAGTTTCTTAAGAATTTAGGACCGATTCCACCGTTGTATTAAACGATGAAGTTTAAATTACCTACTAAGCGAATATTAATATGAAATTATTTATATACAAATATCATTTTAAACTTCGTTTAACACTATGGTGGAATCGTAGGGACCTATCTGAAGGCTCGTTTTAAGGTCACTCGTGAAACACGATGATAACCCAGACAACACACCAAATCCCAGAGATATCCACAGAATATCTTTTGTGGATATCCAATATATCCACAGGATATCAGAAATATTCCGTGGATCCAATATGGATATCCAAATGTCCGTCTATATCCAGAATATAGAAGATATCCTAATGGATATCCAGCAAAATATCTAATGGGTATCTTCCAGAAAATACAAAAGACATCCCAGAGATATCCACATAATATATTTTGTGGATATTTAATATATCCAATATGGATATCCAACCAAATGTCCGTCTATATCCCAGGATATAGAAAATATTCGGATATTCAGCAACATATTTTATCTTTAGTAGAGGTTCATAAATAACCAATGATTATTGAATAACTTCGAAAGAAAATAGCAGAGATAAAAAATATTTTCAACACTCAAAATATTTTCAACACTCTGCCTTTGATTTTGCCCACTAAGGAGAAAGTCATCCTTATTAGGACTCTTCAGCAATAAATGGAAATTCTCGACTCCAGTCTCTAATGGAGTCTGAATAGGACACAAATTTCGATCGAACTCAATTACGGCGGGTCAAGCATGAGTAGACGCGAAAGTGGAATCGCCATCTATACTTAGTAAGCAAAATCAAATAACATCTAGTGGATATCCACGATGGTTTGCGTTCGCGCCTAGACTTTGATATATTTAGTGGATGTGAATGGGATATTGAATACACCTTAAAAAAATTAATTTTAAATATCTGAACATTCTGAACGGTACCATTAGCCACAATGGCGAGTACAATGGCGTAATTTTTTAATAATTTGCTATATAATTACTATTATTTATGGACATTTGCATGTCTATAAATTACATATCATGGATATAAAATAGATATCCACCATGGACTGGACATTCAGTGGATATTGGGATGTGCAGTAGATATCCAAAGGATTTGGTGTGCTGTCTGGGAATAATAAGTACTTAAATTATAAAAAATTAAACTATTTGACCGAAAGAAACAAGAAACTTTTTATTTATATAAAATAATTAGTACATTCTAGGTAATAAAGAAGCATGCTTGAAATTATTAATATAATATTCAAGGAATTGTAAAAGAAAACTAAAAAGTGAAAAATGTTGAGTTGCAGATTTATAGCTAAACTTGGCGACTTGGCATCCTTGTAATTAACGGAACACATGACGTTGACAGTCTTGACACACTTGTCAGTTGGATAGATGTTTGTTTTAATTGTTTTCTAATCAAGCTTTTTTTAATAAAACTTCGTGAAGGGTCGATTCTAAAACAATCTATAAGATCTGGTAGCAAAAATCTGAAAACATTACCTTACTTCATTGATTAATAATGACCTATTTATAATAATCTTCATATGTATTTAATACATTTTGGCTTCTGGCTACTAGATGTCGTGATATGTACTGTTTCAGAACGGTTTCAGCGTTGCCGTTTGGGTACAAATGTATCCAATTTTCTCGCTTATGGTACACAAGTACATTTTAGGACAGATAATCTTAAATTGGGTACATTTTGGAATAATGAATTTCCTTTGTGCATATTTAACAAACAAGACCCTTATTTCAAATTTATATTACATATTTAAATCAAGCAATTCAAATTAAAGGTAGGTATAGTTGATTTTATTGCTTTACAGGAACGAAAAAAAAGCCATACAATATCGGCAAAATATTTTGGCAAAATATTAGGATCACTTGCAAATGTGCATATGCCGCCAACTTACGTAGACAGATGGTTGGTGGAATATAAGAAACTTTTTTATTATTAATATTAGGAAAAAGTTATACTTCATAAAAAGTTGAGCGTAGTCTAAAACCTAAAATACAACCATATCAGATATCAAATTTTAATAATCGTATACCAGGTTTGTCAAAAATAAAGGTACTTATTTACTCTTCATATTCATATTTTTTGATAAACCTCGTACCTCGGATATTGCTTAAAAAAATGATATATGATGGTTGGCATTTTAAGTTTTGGACCATGCAGAACTTTTTATTAATAATCTTTCCTCCATGCTTTTTATATGCAATGACTTTTTTTCATAAAACTAAGAATAAAAAAGTTTTCCGTATGGTTCCGACTTAATGGGACACACTGTATAAATTGTTGAAAGCAATTTTATTACAATAAGTATACTAAAAATTTAATATTTGTTGTATTGTATTTGAAAGCAAAAGGCATTTATATATATGAATTTTATACATATTCAGAATTGGGTAAATTTGGGTACATGTTAGCAAATTTATTTGGTACTTCAACATATTTGGTGCGGCAACACTGTACTGTTTCATTATTAATTATTTAGAATTAGATTTTACAACTTTTTATAAATTCTGATAGATTTTCCATCATGGTGTAAAGAGTATTTTAATCTGAAAATAGTTATTAAGGTACAATTAGAGTAGAAAGAAGTTGGACATTTGTCCTTGTCCACCGCGACCTTTTCAGATCTATTGTGGGACTCCGTTATTAGAGTAGGTACATATGTCGTCTAACTTGGTCTTTTTTATTAGACCTGGTAGCTTTGACAGTGGCTCCTACATGTGGTTACATGTTTCTGGCTTTTCTACACCTTGTATTATAAACCTCAATCAAACCTTCATACTGGTACAGTATGTGGATTTATGTTTCCTGTTCTTCTTCACAGAACTTGCATAATGTTGCTGCTTTTGCTGGCTTCATGACACTCATGTGACTTCTTAGGTAGTAGTAGTGTACCGACAAGACGACCTACTGTTATCCTAATGTTTTTGGTTCAGTAGGTATTTCGTGAACTTGGCCGAATGTTTCTTAATAAACTGTTTGGCCTGTCTCAATTCCGCCATTCCTTAGATTATTTTTGCATCTATTGCATGATGGATTCCTTGCACAATGCCTTAATAGATTCACAAAGAGATCAGGCCTGTCGTGGCCTTATGTGAGCCTTCTCGGGCTAGTTCGTCGGCCTTTTATTTGCCCTGATCTTCATGGCCTAAGGTCACTTTTTGTTCTGACTACTTAGTTCTGATAGGTCTTTTCGGCAGTTCTGATTGCTGATTTGATTTCTGGTGCCTTTAGAGCTGCTTGACTATAGGAGTAGATGTCGATAGTTTTGTCTAACTCTTGCTGATTTATTTATTTTGCACTGTGTTTGTTGTATGACTATTATGAACACTGTTGCGTATTTTCTTAGACTCAAAGAAATCGTTGTTTTCCACTAGGGTTCAAAGATTCCTTGATTTTTGAACCGTCTGCATACCACTACCAGGCGAGTTCAGCCTGTATGGGAGATCCTTGTTTCCCGGATTCTCTGGCTAGTATTTGAACTTCAAATTTGTATGTGGTTATGTCTATATCAGTAGGCATTTCTAGAATCTTTTCCTTTTTTTTACTTGCTAGTATAGCCTTGGTGAACGCTATGTAGTTGGCTTATTGGATTTTGTTCCTGCATTAGCCTGTGAATGACGGACCTGATTTCTCCTCGTATGAAGATGTGCAATGACGTGAGGTTTAATATGATTAACGAAGTAGGCATGGGGCTATAGAATTCAGATAGCTGAGCCGATGACTTAGCCCATTGCACTTGCCTGTGCAGTTTTGGTTACCCACGCCACTGCGCCATAGGTTATTATATGGATCTTATCATTGTTGGGTATGGTCATTTTGGGAATTAGGCAAGAGTTTTTCGCGTATATTCTTCTACAGATTACGAGAGCTATTGCAGCTTTGTAGGCGAGTTTTTTGATGTGTTGGTTCCACGTAAACCTTTGGTCTAAAATAACTCCGATCTGAAGTATTTGGCTTCTGTGACAAATGGAATAGGCATGCATGTTGTTTAGTACTACTGGTCTTAGTACCCCGTTTTTTTTTTGTGAATGGTACAACTATTGTTTTCTGTGGGTTAATTGACAATTGCTTTTTTACCAGTTGTTCGCTATGTTTTGAGCTGTGAGCTCCGAGACTGTACCTGCAAATCGTCTCCTGACGATAATTGCTAGATTTTCCGTCTATCCTAGGCACTGGTTACTTTCTTTGGATAGGTCATCCACTAGAAATGACCACAGCATTAAAGATAGTATTCTTTCTTGTGAGCAGCATTGTGCAACTTTTGCCTGTATAGATACCTCTCCTAGAGTGGATATAATGGTTCTATATCTTCTCTAGGCTGGCAGTGAAACTAGCATATTGTGACTGGGACGTTTTTTGTTCTAGACCCTTCGTTATAGAAAATGTCTCTTCCGATTTCTTTGTCATCTACTGACTTTGAAGGCAACCTATGTAGATCGTCCATCGCTAGGTCCATTGCCTTTTCTGACTGTGGCTGGTATCTATATTATGTAGGATGGAGATGGAGAGGATTTATTTCTAATATCTGGTCCCTAACTTTCCAGCATTTTTAGTAAGTAGGAGGATAAACTTATAGGGCGATATTAAGGAAAGTACTACACTATTTAATATGCTTATAAATGTTTATTCTAAAATCCATTTGAAATTGCATAACTGTAACCATATGTACCAGTCGTTCTCATTTAAAACATAAAAACCTCCATCATTAAACCACTTATTATAAACAATATCTCTATTTAATATATTTACGATTCTCTAGTACATAAAATTACAAATTTATGAGGTTGATTT